AATAGTGCAGTTACTAAGTTGATAAATGGTTGGAAAGGACAAATACTATTCAGAAGAAGCAGAAATTCCTACACTTACAATACAACAAAGAGAGTTCAATACTATTTTACAACTTTGGTTATATTTGATGCTTGAACTATATAACTTTATGCAACTTATACAACTTATACCTCTTAAAACCTGTGCAAGAAAATTACTAGCAATTATGTCATTTGTTGTGCATTTTTGGCAACATTCCCAGTTTTCTTTTTTAAAGCAAAACATTCTTGGTTTTTTTTACTTTTTTTTCAAAAGTTTAAAAGACAATTCTATTTTCTTGTTAAAAGGACTATTTTGATTCAGTGCCAATTTGTATTAAATTATTTATTGGGTACAGGAGAAAATGTACACAGGAGAAAACATTCACTATGTGAAGAAAATATTTAAAAACACTTTTTAAAATTTGAATTATTATTTATTTTGAGACATATCCAATATATTCCCATAATGCAATTACTTTTGGTTGCCATTTGAAATCCAGACAGGAAACAGTTCTAGGATCGTCTATGTTTTTCATAGCTCTCTCAAGGGTTTTGTAATTTTTGCAAAGTCCTTGACAAGTCTTCTGTAATAACCACAAAATGCTACAAAACTTAATAAAGTATTTGCAAACATAGATAATTCAGCATCTTTTATTTTCTGAATCTTTTCTGGATCATTTTCAACACCATTTTGTGTAATCTTATGACCAAGAAATTGTACTGATTCCTGTAGGAAAGCACACTTGCTTGGTTTGACTCTGAAATCCTTTTCTTTAATTCTTTCCATTAATTTTTGTAAAGCTATGTAGTGTTCTGCTAATGTTTTAGTAAACTCAATAATGTCATTCATATAATTAATACAAAAAATTTTCCAATCCATTAATTACAAAATTTGGCATAATATAACTAAAGTGTAAAGGTGCATTTGCAAAACCAAAAGGCATTCGATTGAATTCAAACAGACCAAATGGTGTAATAAAAGCAGTTTTTTCTTTGTGCTTTTCCTTGAAGGGGATATGGTGAAATGCACTTGTCAAGTCTAATATGGAAAAGTATTTATGACCTTCTCCCAGCTCATCGAATAAATCTTTCTGGTGTAGGATTGGATGGCAATTCTTTTTTGATTGCTTGTTAAGTTTTCTGTAATCCACACACATTCTCAATGTTCCTTCTTTCTTTTTAACAAAAGCAATTGGTTAAGCCTATTGACTCTTACTTGATCTAATTAGTCCATTTTCCAATAAACCATTAAGTTGATCCCTCTTTTCCAAAGCGCCCTGGCTCCTAAACAGCTGGGTTGATTTGGTTCAAAGTTTATCTGGTTTTTGTTGGAGATACAGTAAAAGCATAGGCTAGGAACTGCTACTTTAGATAGCAAAACCAACCTTTAGCCTAACAAGGTTAGTAGTGTAAGTGCAATTGTGAGGTTATCAGTCTGTACTGGTTGTGCTAACATTTAAGACATAACCCAGACAGAAACAGAGAAAAAGTTTTAGACTATAATATATTTACTTGTTTAAAGGAGGATAGTTAGTATGAAATGTACCTTATGACTTAATGTTTGAGTTAAAAGAGAAAAGTCATTTTGATTGTAAACCATACTATATTTTACAATTAAGATGTCTAAGTATTCACATATCAATAATTTCTAGTGTTCATGTGGCAAGTAATACTCTTAGGAGATGAAAAACTCGCTAAGAACATAATTTAGGGATACTCAGATGATAAAGCGACAAGCACAAACTCTTATCTTTTATTACTGTATTATTTAAATTAAAGCATGTTGAGGTGAAAACTAGTTTTATTGCGATAAGAACTCTATATCAGTGGGAGAAGTGTGATTGTACTGAGCTGAAAAGACAAAATTTCAAATATAAAAGAGTCAGACAAAGAACTGATCTCACCTCCAAAGACTGTAAACTCAGAAAAGTGTACTGCCTCAAAGTTATTAGCAAAAATCTAGACTGGTCTAGGGTTATTTTTACTGATGAGGCTAGGTTTTCTTTAAGTGGACCTGACAATTTTAGGACTTGGACCAGTAACAGTGAAAAGGACTTCAGGGTCACAAAAAATATTGGGAGAGGTGGAGTATTGGTGTGAGGGTTGATAACCTCTGACAGCATATTTGAAGTCTGGAGGATAAGGAGCAAGCTGAATGCTGAAAACTATAGCTCCTTCATTGTGGAAGATGTTCTGCCTGTCATAGAAGAAATTGAGGCAAAAATGGGCAGGCAGTACATCTTCCAGCAAGACAATGCTGGCTGTCACACTGCAAGAAAATTGAAAAGAGCCTTTAAAAGCAATAATATCAAGCCCATAGATTGGCCAGCAAGGAGCCCTGATCTGAGTCCAATAGAGAACATGTGGCATCTGACCAAGACAATGGTCTATGATGGTCCACAGTTCGAGACAGAGGATGAACTGTGGGAAAAGATTAAGAAATGCTCCTACAAGGTTATCAACAGAAATCCACTCTTGTTGCCAAGCTTATATGGGGGAATGGGCTGTAGAATAAGCAAATGTATAGAAAGAGAGGGTGGGCACATACAAAAGTAGAACATGTTGTGCAGCCAAATAAGAAAAAAAATCAGAAAACTATGGTAATTTCTATAAAAAAAAAATATGTAAAAATGTACCTAACTGCTGTTTTAAAGAAATTTCTATAAAATTGCAAGTTGAACCTATTATTAAACACTAAAAAAATAAAAAAAATAATCTTTTTTCATCACGAAAAAGATTTTTAATATTTGGCCTATAAAAATTTGAGGTGTTCCAACATACCTGTCATCCACTTTATGCAGCGATGCAGGTACACACATGAGCATATAAAATTCTTGCAAACAAATGCAACGAATTTAGCATTAACTATAGAACTACATTAGTCTTACTTTAATCACTTAAGAACATTTATTCAGCTGCCAGCTAAAGAGTATCAAAAGGTCAAACTCAACTATTGTTGACTTTTGGACCAGTTCCAATTTCTCACTTTCAATGGTTGAATTGAATGTTACCAAAATTGTTACATCTTACAAAAGAAGCAGACCATCTAAATTTATCTGACCTAATCACTTTGGATGAATGAAATCAATTAAAGATGGAATCATTTTTAGAACTTTCAATTGTGTTAAAATGTTACTTTGCATTGTTCAAACTTTGAAATTGTGAACTGTTAAACTCTTAGGAAAGTATGTAAACCCTACGAATTGAACAGTTGTTAGCTTAGTTTTCTAACCACTTGCTTAGAGATAAAAGCTCAGAATATTCAATACATATCTTATTTGGAAAATACTGGCTTTTTGTTGAAAGTTTGATATAAAACTTTGGACGAATATCATTCATTTGTTGATACTTGTGGACAAACTTGAGGTTCTATTTGGACAAGTACTCTGGCGTAATATTAAATGAGTGGTACGGACAAATACATTTGGGATGAGAACGAAATTCCTAGGATCACGATACAACAAAGTACAGCCACAACAGAATAGTACAATAGATGTCGCTTTAGTTTTTAAATATTCAGTACATATGGCATAGCTTATAACAGTTGTATTTTTCAATTTTAATATAGTATTATTAACAATAATATCTAATTTAATTTAGTATTGATATAAAATAATATAGCATTCATTTGAATTGTCTGCCTGCGGACATTTCCTGTCAGCTTGGGGGCATTTTCTGTGAGCCTCAGGGTATATAATTAAATTATTTGGAAACAAAATGGAATTTGTTGATATTTAACATAGGGCTCTGAAATGTTTTGAATATAGTAATATGAGAGCGGCGATTCCTAACCCCAACACCTAACTTCACTCTAACCCTAATTTTTAAACAGAATTAGAAATTATATTTTCAAGCAGAGCCATCTAGTTGTAGATTTAAATACATAAATCATTTTAGGCCAATTAATTCTATAAATTATAAAACTGATGGACAAAATGAGGTTTATTACTAGTTTATTGTATCAAAATTGGTATTTTAACATAAGTGTTTGTCTATTATTGCCTACGAGATAAACTAATGACAAAAATGAGTTTCTAGCAAACTAATTTCTAGAGAACTGGACTATCAACTGTTGATTTTGTATGGTTTATATACTCTTATAGTTGAGTACTAGAGTGTTTCTCCCATTCAATTTTTAGAGACAGTTGGAAGAGGGGAATAAAAAACTACACATGTTTAAAAGTGTTCAAAGAAGCATTTTGTTCATCTTTGTAAGAGATAGTTTGTCTTTCTTTCTATCCATTTTTCGCATTTTAATGTTAACTTCTTAAAATAGATTCTTTTATATAAATATGGTGTGGAAGGTGATGAATGTTCTGACAACATTTTAAAGGAAAATATGAAATTGTTACAAAATGATATAACTCAAAGAATTGATAAGTTGATTAGTTTGTATTCAAATCTCGTCTTATTTTTATTAAAAGTAAATAAAGACATACTTTATTTTTTTTAAGGTTTAACCGACAATCAGAGATTTTCAAAGCAGAGTTTAAAAAAAATTGAATGTGATGGACAGATAACATTAAATCAAAACTTGAACAGTATCAATAAGGTGGATTATTTAATCTCTTCAAAGGATTATCCAAAGAATTATCCAAATAATCATAACTGTATGATAATTATGAATGTTGAAAAAGTGTTTAACGGGGTTTGTATTATGTTAATTAAAGAAAATAGGCAAATTAAAATGATAATTCTATATACTTTGAGAATTATGCTTAATTAATTTCTATTTATAGTACATAGAGTTGACATTTCATGAATTCCATCTTGAATTTTCAAAAAATTGCCATTATGACTATCTAACAATTTCGGATGATAAAGAAAAAATGACTTTATGTGGAAAAGGCCTAATTAATAGTTAAAAATATCTGGTTTTTACCTACCAAACATTAATTTCGTAATTTTGATATTTCCAGAATCAACTACAAATTCTGAAGAAAATATTAATTTTATTAAAAATGCAAGAATGCTGCCAATTATGAATAAAACATTTAAATTGAAGCCAAATGGAGCATTAGTCATTTATTTCAAAACTGGTAAAAAAGTTACAAAATCTGGATTTGTTTTAAAAGCTAATTTTAGAAATGATAAGTCAAATTGTAATGAAGAGGAAACTGTTACTAAAAAAATTGATGAAATAGTCACAACTACAATCACACCAAAAGAAGAATTTTTAACTACCAACTACTCTGATAGAAAAACAACAACAAGTAGTAGTAGTAGTACAGTTCCTATGGAAATAGACCTAACTACTCTGATGCCACAATTAACAACAAAAGCAACTGAAAAACCAAAAACAACAAAAAAAACAAGAAGAGCAACACTGTTTATAAACAATAGATCAGTTGTTTGTGGCACCATAAATATTCCAAAATTAAATTTTGATTGTAATGGAAAAAGCTACAATATCCGTTCCAACAATCCATATTTACCCAATTCAAATTGTCGTCTTTATTTAGTACCTCCAAGAGGGAGGAAAGGGGTAAAAAAAATCCTTTTTCACCAAAATAATAACAATAGCATAAAATTTTGCAGACAGTTTATTTCAAATTTAAATATATTAATATGCAACATCATCATAGATGCATATATGATTATGTTAAGGTTATTGATGATCATTCAAGATCTTATAAATTCTGTGGAACACAAAGTAAAATTTCCAATTCATATTCAAATTGTATTTCTCAATCTTTCCTCTCTGTTTTTTTTTTAGTTATTGGCGATAGAGGGAATATTTCCCTAGGAAGACAAGTCAATCATGAATATGTGGATATAAATAAAATGTATTTACTTCCATGAAAAAATCATTTACAGTACATTTCAGAAGCAATAGCGATAAACAATTCCGGGGATTTCAATTAACAACTACCTTCTCATGTCAACCATTAATTCCACAAATCAGACAAGTCTTATGTAAATGGGATAATCATCGTATTAAAATAGATTGTGATACTGAATATTTAAGAATCATAGCTCCAAACAGTAGAACTAAAAAATGGTGTTCAATTATCCTAGACATTAGACAAGAAAATATAGTATGTTGCCTATATTTCTCTATTCAAAACATTCAAATCAATTACCCGTTTATCATTTTAGGAAGTGGATTTTGAATTTCTTTCATTCAATCTACAGAGAAATACCGGATTGGATTACGATGCTTTGACATTTGCTCAAGGTTTTCGTCATATTCAGTATTCTGGAAAAGCAAATAAAGTCGGGTCAGTATCTGCAATATCACCTCAATTGCAAGGTCAAGGTCAAAATATATTAAATACTTTTTTCTTCTTTTCTTTACACTAGCACGAAAAATGATAGAATTAGCATCTTTAGAGGACGAAAACTAAAACCCCCCAAACTTGGAACAACTTATTACACTGACGAAAATGGAGATTTTAGCATCAATTATTTTGAAGGTACTGATACAGGAGGAAGATCATTTGAAATGATTGCACGTCCAAAATGTATTTCCTAAAGGTTTAAATATTATTTATTCTCTGGGTTGCTGTTATTTAGTCCAATCTGCTTTCACTTAATTATAATAGTTAGCAAACTAAAACTTATAATGGCAGGTCACCAAATTACCAAACTGTCTTCCAATGTTGACGAGTAGAAGGCTGGTTCCAGTGGTTCTTAAGTAGCCATTAAGGTGAACCTCCAGATTGACTAATCACAACCTGGGTTTGGCCAATTGTTCTAGCATTTTTTTGTGTAAGGTTTCATTTAAAAGCTACATATAAGTTGCAAATAGAAATATAGTTCAAGCATAAAATATAACCAAAGTTGTACAATATATTTATTTCAAATATAGAGTGTTTTCGGTGAAATCAATTCAAAAACAGCTTTACTTTGTCCAAATTGTAATATTCCATTTTATGGGAGACAAAAGAAAATATAATGTGTTTTATGTAGAAGATCTCTTCATACATATTTATTCTTTATTCTGGGATTTATTAAAGATCCAACTCAGCACATTTGCAATCTTTGTGAACCATTCTAGGAGAGAATTGAGAAATATTTGTAATGATGATATCAGGTCATCAGGCAGAAAAATAACTGAAGATATATTACTGAAGTGTTTAGCTGACGAGAATAGTTTGCCTAACATTGAAAATTGGAGAAGATTAGCCAATATCACAAGAGAGAAGGACAGATCTAAAGTGTCAAAAGGTCTAATGGCAAAAACAACAAATACTTATTTTGACTAACCTTATCTACAAGTTGTTTTGTGATTTTTTATGTTGTGTTTAGTTTGTTAATAACAGAAAAATTATCTGGATCATAATGCCAGTTTGTTTATATTTAAATATGAAGAGAGTACAGAACAATCTCAAATTGTCTTTTCTTTAAATAGTAATTTTTTCCAATCTATCTTACTCCTAATAGCAATCCATGGCTTTATGTTTTTAGAGATCCTCATTTTAAACAAATTGTCTTTGATAAACAAAGTTTAATGACTAAATCTATGTGCTATGATGTTAGGGCTCACCTGGATACTATTTACATATAGCAGGCTTTAAAGGAATTCAAATTTATTGACAACTTAAAGATGATTACTACATTCATAGAATTTTTATAAAATCAGATTCTGGTAATATAACTTCATTAACAGACAGTTTTTATTCTCAAGTTCAATCAAATGAAGAAAATGAACTAAAGATTATTTCAATCCGAATTGATAAAAATTTAATTAAGGCAAAGAATGTAGTAAGAAACAAAGCTGAATGTTAGTTGATAAATATTAATGATATTTTGAAACCATTTATAATTTTGTACTGCTCTTGCTGGCAAAATCTATGCGTTTGCAAGTTATAACAATACTGCTTCTACTCGAACCTTTAAACAAATGTTTAAATTAAAATGGTTTATTCGCAATGATAATACTTAAGCAAGTAACAATATGAGAGTTCAATAGCAGAGTAGATAGTTCGTAATAGCAGGTTGCCAAATTACCAAACTGTCTTCCAATGTTGAGGAGTAGATGGATGGTTCCAGTGGAGGTTGTTTCCAGGTTATCTTCTTCCAGGCCCTTGGGTCCAGATGGGCGAGATGTTTAGCATGAGAAAAGTGAGGATTTATATACTTTGAGGTTTGCCTCTGATATCCAATCATCACTTTACAGTTGTATCAACTTAGAATTTAGACTTTTTTCTGAGCATGCTTCCTAGTTTTGCAAGTTGCAGTTACAGATTTATCACAAATTTCAGCTTTGTTTTTCATAGGAAAGGGTTAATTATGGTGAACACTATCTTTTTGGATATTGTTGAAAACGCCCACTGTGCCTGTTGAAAACATCCACTGTGCTTAACTTACATCAAAACTACAAAAGTTGCATAATTACATTTGAAGTGATAACACTTATCTTTTTGGGTGATGATTATGTGTTAATTCACAAACTGTCTAAAAAATTTACAAAGAGTAATTTAATTAAAGAATTATTTTAGAAAGACAAACAGAAAAATTTTGATCATAATTGAAACAATAGTTCATATGCTTTTTTCTTTTTTGAAGACATGAACACAGTTAATAGTGGTACTTGTTTCGATGCATCATTTTTTTTCAGAAATCCATGAATAGAGAATATTTGTATAAAAGGATTACGAGCATGTTTAAAAGTACCATCAAGAAACCATGTTTTAGTTGAGGAAAGAAGTTCAATTTGCTTATTAGTTGCAAATATTATAATTCAAAAGCCATTTTCATTATATTTTATATGTGTCATATAACAAGTCTTTCATATTTTTGTTACATGAGAATTATGAGACTGTCAGATTTCAACTTTGTAATCCTTTGACCACTTGAACCCAAGCTTTGGAAAATGTATAAAAGGAAATGCATTTCCCCAGCTTGTCAGTTCAGTTCTTTAACCATTAACTGGTTGTTTAAACTTACTTGTTTAGAACTAGAATCTCATTTACTCAATACATAAAAATTGTTGTATTAAAAAAGATTATGGAATTTTTTTTGAATCTTGTTCAAAGATACAAAATTTGGATTTATCAGAAAATAGAATAATGGAAGATGGTTTTAAGAATATTTGTAATGGAATATCTTTATCATACAATTCTATAAAACAAATAAATCTTGAAAGTTGTTTTCTGGCTGAAAAACAAGGTGAATGGTTTAGAGATTCCTTGAAAACTTGTATTTTATTAGAAAGAATTAATTGATCATTTAATAGAGTCGACAGAAAATGTCCATGAAAGAAAACATCCGTTAAAATAAATTTCATTTAAATATAAATATAAGTTGAAAAAGTAAACCTTTGATAAAACTATATGTTAGATATATACTTAATAAATGAAATATTCAGAAAAAAAATCACATAACTTTTCCTATTAGCTTAATTTTTTAAGAATTAAATTTCCTTATGAAGTGAAAGAAAACATCCATAAAGTGAAAGAAAATGTCCATAAACTGAAAGTAAATGTCCAGTATTTTATATAATAGTGGGGAAAAAGTTGACTCAGTGTTGGTGATTTGTTTACATCCTTTTACCTTTCAACAATTGCCATAGCTGACTTATATTACCGAAACAGCTTCCTCTATCACAAGGAAACTTGGAGGTATAGTTCGCTGTGTATGTTATTGGGAAACTTCCTGACATTTGGATTCTTGCTCTCTTCAATGAGTACTTTATTTTTGACATTAGAAAGAAAGTACGTAATTTAACATTTTGGATTAACAATTCTAAAGCAGAGAAAGGTGTACTTTTTGATGTTCATAATCATTGCAACAGCAATAATATCAATTTTGGAACTGTTATTGAGCGGATGCAACCGTAGATCATCATTACAGTCATCAGTAGTGGAAGTCACAACATCTGTTTCCTGTTAGCTCTTCCTGTGTTGGCTATAGCTGAATGGTTGGAAATTTCATGTATTGATTGAACTCTGATAGTTATTCCATCCTCAAACTCTATCTATATATTGGGTTTTCATTTCTATTTCTGAATCTGATTGTTCACAGATAATTTCAGTCCTTTACTGTAAAGTTGTAAAGTATTCCATTGTACTGCAGTGTGTGTCTCTCCTTCTCACAGTCTCAATGTCAAGTTTAATCTTTCATTTGTCTATTTCTTATGAGATCAACTACAATGGTAGACAATTGATAAAAAAACAAAAAAAGTCATTTTTTATAGATTACATTTATCATCTATTGTTTCAATTTTTGATAAGATAAAAAGCATTTATTGTTTGACTTTCTTTTTGTCATTTAGTAAATTTAAAGAGGATTGAAATGAATGAAATAATTTCATTAGTGTACTTTTCAATTTTGGTGATTTTCTTTTTTTAAAAATATTAACTTTTCATTCAAATTTTGTATTTTTTCTGTTAGATGCTATTATGTCAAAAAACTGTGGCATATGATACTCAATATTCATTTGAAAGGAAGATTAAAGAAGATATTAAAATTTTGAAAAATAATTTAACCAATTTATTAGATGATTTCACTTGTTAGTTTTCAATTTATTTTCATTATTTCCATACTTTTTCCTTTTGCAGATTTGATGGAATATAGACACAATTCAACAAGAATAAAATATGGTAACAAGGATACAAGTAATAACTTTATTGGTTATTTAAGTTAATTATTTTTATTATTATATATATATTTTTTTAATTTATTTCAGAAAATTTTGAATGTTTAAAGCAGAAGACTTTAAATCAATATTTAATGAATGATAATCAAGATTATAGAATCTATTCTAGAAATAATCCAAAAAATTATCCAGAAAATTTTTCATGTAGAATTGTTTTGAATGTTGACAAATCACAAAATGGGGTTTAATTTTTTATTTCTTGCTTTTTTGTTATTTGAGGATAATTCAATAGTACTGTAGTAGGATAAATAAGACTTTGATACATAAATGAGTGAAATATCCTGTTACATTCTAATTTGGTAATAATTACTAATCTATATTATTTATCCTGATATTAAACTCTTCCAATAACTCCATTTCAATTATAGATTTTGCTTAAACATTTGAATATAATCAGAACTGTTATAGTAAGATTATACAATATCATTTTTTCTTCTTTTTCAGTATGTAGAATTAAAATTTGAATATTTCAACATAGAATATTCTAGTGATTGCAATTATGATCATTTAATTATTTCTGACGATAAACAATCAATTGCGCTATGCGGAGATGGTTTGGTAAACAGTATGTTTTTTTGTTTCTTACCTTTTTTACTTTGTTTTTATTTCTATATGTTTTAAATTTGATTGAATTAGACTTGAATAAAACTTTGAATCCAAATGAAGATGATAGTTTATTTCTCCTGAATGGAACGCAACCATATGTTGATAAAACTTATACAATAAGACCAACTGGTTCAATAATTTTCCAGTTTAAAAGTGATAAAAAACTCACAGCTCCAGGATTTGTTATAAACATTCGGTTTAAAACTGAAAAACAGCCAAAACATACAAGACAAACAAAGAATAATTACATGCTGCCATCTTATTTTGCAGCTGGTGTCAATCTGAGAACATCTGAAGTTTTCAATATAATATCCAAAGGCCAAGATTCAGAATGGGATAGTCCAATGCTATGCGAGTTACATTCTGGTGAGACTATCAATCTGGATTGTAGTGGTAGATCATATGAAATTTTAACAAGAAATCCTTATAGACCAGGTACACAGTGTGGTATTAGTCTACAAACACCAAGGGGACAAGCTGGAGTGAGGATAAAATAGAGAGGCAAAATTTAATACAACTTGTAATTCAAATTTCAAATTTCAGATAATGATTTTTGCATTTAAATATATACAAACTGAAGTATCAGATAACTGCCAATACGATTATATAAAAATACAAAATGAAGAAATGAAATTTACAATTTGCGGAAAAGAAAATAAATTACATTTAAGAGGAAAAGGGGAAAGTGAATTTCAAACAAATCAAAATTATTTCATCAATGTTGAAAATTCAGCTAAACTAGAATTTAGAAGTGATGAATCAAGTGAATATGCAGGATTTCATTTACAATTAAGTTTTCATTGTAAAAATAATACAAAACTTGTTCCCCTGTAAGTTTAAAACACTTTTCAATCAATTTTTATCCCTAAGTATTGAAATTGTATATGTTACAGGAATATTTAGATAATATGGATTAGTAGATTATATATGCTGGTTATTTGAATCAAGATACTCTTTAAGATAGAACAATAAATAATTCTATAGATAATGAAGCACCCAAGAAGAACTATTCCATAGATTATGAAAGAGTAGGGCCATCCACTAATTTTTTCACTCTTAATATGCAAAAAAAAAAGCAAATAATTCTAATAAATGAAAAAAAAATTTTAATTAAAATTCTTTTGAATTCAAGTTGTTTTTAAATACTGGAAATATAAAATCTGGAATGACTGCAACAATCATATTAATTAAAACGATTAGAATTGGTAATTTTCAGATTTACATTTAAAATACCCTTCCCATTGAAATTTCTCTAGAATGGAGCCCACAGAAAATGTCATAGTAAAATTTCTTTTAATTAAAAAGTCCATCAAATTATGATTAAGATTAAAATATAAAAAAATGACTTAGAAAAAAAGAACTTGACCCAGAAATCAATACGGAAAATGACCTCAATGATAATTCTTTATTAAGTAACTCTTTGTAAATTTTTTACAGCCATTTAATATAAAAAAAAGAAATCTGAATGCTATTAAGAAATTAAATTTTTTTTCTTTTCCGCATAGGCTAAAAATGTCAATACCAGTTTTTAGAAATTGAGTAAAAGTAATGTTCTTTAAATGAACAACAATGATACTCTTATCATAAAAGAGTATAGGCTCATTATTTCTATTTAAAAATTCTTTGAACATAGAATAATACAAAATTGAATAAATTTTAACTATTTATTTCACAGTGGAAAAGCATTGTAGGTGGCATTAGTGTAGAAATATCTAATATAAGATATACATTTATCATTTAGAGAACAAATTTGAATGAATTAAAATAATTTTATTAGAACTGTAAAATATATTAGGAAAATGTAGACAATAAAAGTTAATTTATGGATTTTTGTAGATAATTGAATATCTTGAATGGTTTTTGAATATCATTAACATTCATTAACCAACAATCAACTTCATCTCTATCACTTTTAACTCCTCTTACTAAATTATTCCCAATCAGAATTGATCCAGATTTTGAACTGCTGCCTTGATTATAAAATGTTTTATAAGAAAAACAGTTTATTTTGCTTATGTTCTTCCCTGTTTTTTTACCATCGACACTTCATAATCAGACTATCATAAAAGGGACCGGTCGAAAACGGCCATAAATGAAATATTTGAAAGTTAGATTTCAGCCTGGGAAATGGTTAGGAGGAATAAGATAACTGTTGATATGTTCTTAGGAGGATCCTATCTAAGGGTTAGGGGTATTCAAAAAGGTTAGGCAAAAACAAGGTCTGGGTTAGGGTTAGGGTAAAGCCATAGATTTAAGGCCGTTTTCTACCACATCCATCATAAATTATTATTCTTTTCAAAAACAAAAGTTGACCATTAATGTAATTTTTTGTTACAAAACAAAATGAATATAGTTAATAATAGTTTTTAAATGTTGAATTTGAAACTGTAACAATTTTAATTCATATTCTATATTGAATATTTCGCAATTATTACAAAAGCAAAGAATTTTTGTTATTCATCTTTGAAAGGATAATATTTTCAAGTGAAATCAAGGGTCACGTGATGTAATAAAATACGTGAATTCGAAAGTAGAAATAGGCTAGTATAGCAAAACTTAACATTGTTGTAAGATTATTGGATTTGCATATTTCTGTTAAATATCAATGCTAAAGCGAGAACAAAAAATTCATTCTTTTTTAGGCCTTTTGTTCTAATTGTTCTCTATATCATTGTACTGCTCTTGCTGGCAAAATCTATGCATTTGCAAATTTTAACAATACTGGTTCTACTTGAACCTTTAAACAAATGTTTAAATTAAAGCGGTTTATTTGCAATAATAATACTTAAGCAAGTAACAATATGAGAGTTTAACAGCAGAGTAGATAGTTCGTAATAGCAGGTTGCCAAATTACCAAACTGTCTTCCAATGTTGAGGAGTAGATGGATGGTTCCAGTGGAGGTTGTTTCCAGGTGATCTTCCCAGGTCCTTGGGTCCAGATGGAAGCTGCATGCAGAATGAGAATAGTGAGGATTTATATACTTTGAGGTTTGCCTCTGACATCCAATCATCACTTTACAGTTGCCGAAATGTGTAGTTCATATTTATGTTTAGTAAGAGGATGTTACAAGGTTGAACATTTAGGAAGGTTAATTGAATTATAACTTGGCCACACCCTAGGCAAGTTAATTAAATTAAAACTTGGCCAAACCTTTATTGGTAATTAAAGATGAGCCTTCAAGCTGACTAATCAGACTTATGTTTGGCCAATGTTATAGCATTTTCTTGCATAGGTTTTAAGATGTACATGTATAAGTTGCATCAAATAATAGAGTTCAAGCATGTAAAATATATCCAAAGTTGTACATCATTGTTAAGATATTATACTTTAGGGCAAATTTTCCTTATGAACATTCATCCTCTTACTGTTCAATTCAATCATTTAGAAAAATTGACAAAAGTTGGCAACCAATGCCAATGAGATTTACTCCACCTTCAATATAGTCTGTCACTGACAATTTTTCATTTTCCTGCAATTCTTCAAATTTTTGCTTTTGTCTCTCTTCTCTAATTCTTTCATGTTCTAACATCAATTTAAATTCCTCCCCCAGTTTTGCTAATAGTTTTTTCCTCTGTTCCTGCTCTATTTTTTGGTATTCTTTCAACAATCTCCTTTTCTCTTCTTCTCTTTGTCTTTCTTCCTCAATGAGCTGTTTTCTACGTTGAAAATTTACTAATATTTTCATTGTCCTTTTTAAAAAATGTTTTCTTTAGTGAATGTCATTTATTTACCATTTTTAATATACTTACCGCCATAAAATTACTTTTTAATTCTGCATCAAATTTTCCATATCTTGAGGTATTTTCCGTTGATCTATTTCTAAGAACAACAACCAATGTCTATCAAAAATTTGATTGACATAAATTTAAGTGAGTTTTTAAAAGAAATACCTACAGTCTCTTTACTTTTTTGAAGCTGTTCATTATCAACAACACCAAGTACGCTGTTGACCTGTAATAGAAGACAAATTAATCAATAATTTAAAGAATGCTCCATTAAAAATCTACAAACATTTATAGTCTCAACATCTTTGTTTGCTAATCTTTTATCAGCATTGTAAATTACAATTGAGCACAATGAAAAAAGAAATGAAACTATTAAATTGTCACCCCTAATCAAATCAGTGCTAAAGAGACCTTGGGAATCTAAAAAGAAGATATTTGTTTTCTGGCCACCAATCGTTCTGAAAGTATTTAAAGTTTTTACATAAAAGAATAATAAAATTGATTGAATAAAAAAAGTACAGACCTAACAATAGGCACTTTCGTCATAGACACTCCTGTATTAATCATAAAACATGATTAATAATCGAAAGGAAAATTCGAAAGTAAAAAGAGAATTCCAAAGTAAAAATCTTTTTACCTTTTGTAACTGATTTATCACCAAAACCAACTTGAAATACATTTTCAACAAATGTACCTTGATTTTCATTCTGATAGAGAAGATTCATAAGGAATGATTTACCTTTTAGGTTCACAATGTATTTTATTGATTCACCCTTTTTTTTCTATTTACTTTGCCTGTTTTAACTGTGTAAATTTCTATAAAAAGCACTATCTATAATGTCCATAAAAATCCATATTTTCAATATTACATACTGTTATTATCACACTTCAGAACAATTAATGGAGAAACATTAAATATTTTCTTCTTGGATTCTCAAGGACTTTACGCAACAGATGTAAAAAAAACTGATAATCTAATTGTATCATTTCTTTTCAGTATTTCTCCAATTTGCATTTTCAATGTCAACAATAGATTAGACTCAACAGATATTGATACAATGAAGGTAAAAAATTTTTTTTCTATCATTTTTAAAACAAATTTCAACATTTAAACAGTCCTGTTCTTATCCTTGACCTTTATCTTATCTAGTTTAACATTTATCTCGGTGTAGTAGACAATGAAAATTTCATGCAAACTAAAAATACTGTAAATATAGATTTTTTTAAAAAAAAAAAAAAAAAAGAAACTTTTAACATTTTTGTTTTCTCTTTATAGACATTGATTATTACATGCCGAGATCAACAATGCGATTCGACTCTTGGGAAATTTAATAAACAATTTCAAGCCAAAGAGAAAGATGTAAAGATATATAAAAGAAAGAAAAAAAACTTATTAATGAGTTTCCTTTTTCAGAAATGTAAAGATTTAAACACACTTTTTGAAAGTTTTAAAACATTGGAATTTTCTCTTTTCCCTGAACCTGATCATTCTGTTATGTCTAAAGATTTTACATTTCTTTTTAAAGGTTTATTATTATTATTACAATTTTCATATTGAATTTTAAAATCTCTATGATTGGTAGACATTGGAAAGTTTCGAATTTAATAAAGGTGAATTAACAGAAGAATATAAAAAGAAGGAAATGGAAACAAAGGAACTTGAAAACAAAATAGATAAACTAAGAGAAGAAATAGAAAAAGTGAGAAGCCAAAAAGGTCAAGATAAGAAAGCTTTCGTGCAACTAAAAGATAACTCTAACGAACTCCTAAAAGCATTGTTTGAAGCTCTTCCTGCAGTAGTTACAGTTTTGAAACTTGTCTGTGGAGGTAGCCAAAAATCTCCACAACAGAAAATGTCCACAGGATCCACAGAAAACGGCCTCAATTGAGACATAAAATGGACTCAATTGGGACAGAAAACGGCCTCATAATTTTGAAATATATAATACTAATAAATTGAATAGAATAAGTTAATTCAAATTTTTTTATTTTTTTATATTTTATTTTATAATAATACAACAAACATTTTTGTGTAAACTTTTTTTTGCATTCTCAATATCTTCTTCTCACTTAATAATTTTTCATACACAGAAATTAGCTCAGCCTCTTTCTTTAGTTCATCAATAATTTTGTAAAATGATGAATTAATTCCCATGTTTTTTTTTGAGTCAATCATGGAATCCTCCCAGATCATTGTTCATCTGGATTGATTGGTTAAAAACAGACCAAGTTTCTGGGGTTCAAAACCTATTCTTTATCCAATGATCCTCCACATATTCCAATAAATCTCTAAGTTTATTTCTTTCAGCCAGCTCACTTTATATTTTGTAGAATTGATTTGCAATCAAAGTATGAGAGAGGTAGAACAAAGCCATAATTATTTTCATTGATTGCCATTCTCCTTCTCTCTATTTAAATTCTGAGCTGTAAGCCAGATCCTAAAAGTAGAAAAATAAACTTGGATCAAATTTTTACACTTATTAGTATTGTTTCTAATTTGAATTTTAAAAAAAAGGGCTTGTAACTAATGAAAAGAACAACCAACCTATGTAACATCTGGCCATGTATCTCTAATACTTTTCGAAATGGTCTTCTCATAGTCCAAA